TTTTGTTTAGCTTTAATCCTTTCATTTATATTACATTATATTTAATTTTTCTAGTTCTTTTTTTCTTTAATTAGTGATCCCAATTATCAATTCAAAAAACTTTCAACCGGTGTCATCCAATTTCCTATATTTGCAAGTGCTGTGTTTAACACCATAGCGACTGTAGATGAAGGTTATGCTATTGTTTATGCAAACTCTTCTGACCCAACTAATTCGACTGATCCACTTATCGTTCGAGCGGCGTTATACATTCAAACTATTGGTTATGGTGACCAGAGCTTGGGTGCTCCATTGCTCCTCTATCAACTCCCGCTTCAAAACATAATATTCGGTTCACTTTTTTGTGATATTTCTCCTGTTAATGTCGGCCAAATTTGTACATTAGCCATGACTCAAAATAATCCAACTAATAATGCAAATAACACTGCAAATAATACTACAATTAATAACAATCAAACTTATTACGCGAAAATTTCATTTTTATCAAGTGGTTCCGTTATTGAATTTACTCCAATATCCAGAATATTACCTAATCTACCTAATGTCACTGAATGGGTGGTTTCTTCACTACCTTACGGTGGTTATTTATTGCTTACTCAAACAGTATCTCCAGCTGGCGTAAATATGTATGCATATATCTTTGACGAATACTCTACCACTGGACAACCTTGGGAGTTTCCGGAACCTTTGGCTTCAAACGTAGCCGGTGCTTTCGAGATTCTTCCTAATAATTCCCTTGTTGTCGCTCAACTGGAATCTTTGAACACTTGGTCATTTGTAGTTTCTGACTTACCCAAATTTACAAAAAATAAGGATAATGGTTACTCAAATGTTCGTGTCGATATTACCAACCCTAAAATTGGTGATGTGATTCCAACATCAACTCAAAATATCACCATAAGATTTTATGACCCTGTTGAACTTTCTTCTGGAAATGTTACAATCTTTCAAACTGATAATAATCATAATGATATCATTCGACAAGTAGTTTCTGGAAAAAATGCTGGTTTTTGTTCAATATCAGATGATGGTTTAACTGTAACCATCAAAGTCCTTGATAGTACTTTTAGTAAACCAAATTCCTTGTTTTATGTAAAAGTTGATAATAATTTTGTCAGGAGTAGAGCTTTTAAAGAACCTCTTATTGGAATTGGTGAAAGAATTTGGAAATTCAACACTGGTAAAATATATCTTATTTTATTATTGTTGTTTAAATGAATGCTTAATTTAAATTTTCATTAATTCTCATTCCTTTTGCAGAAAATAAAGATGAACCATTTGCAGGTAAATTTGAATTTCAACTTAAATATTAATGATTAATTTAAATCACAAACAAATTATATAGTATTATTTTATCGTTATCGTTTATGTGTAGGATCAGTATCTGGATTATTACGTCTAAATCTGGATGGTTCAACGTATTATGAAAGTCTCGATTCCAATGGCAAAAACAAATTCTTTGCCAGCCTTCAAGATGATATTTCAAAAATCCTCCCAATTGCTCCTTCACGTTTAAGTTCTAATCAACACGTTCAGGTTGATTTCTCTATTAGTCCAGGTCGACAAATTTTCTTATCCCTTAATCTAGAACAAACTAGAGATAAAAATGAAAGAAGTGTTGCTTCGCTTATCCGAGATTTAAACACAATGGTTCATAACAAAGATATTACACCAATTGGGTTAGGAAACACTACAAAATATTTAGATGATACTTATGGATTTTTGCCATCGTGTAAGCATCTAATAAGCTTATTAAAACGTGGCTACACTTGTGTTTTTTTTTACAAAAAATTTAACCAAAACTCTTTAAATCTATGTTACTTTATATAATTTAGCAAATCTATGGGATAAATATAAGTTGAAGCTGTTGGGTGTGTTCTTGGTAGCTTGCTTGTTGATTGCTCTTTTCCTTTTGGCTCAAAGAAGAGATAAGAAGGGTCAAAACATTGCCATTTTACAACTTGGCCTTATCTTATTTGACGTTACCATAGATATTCTATTCTTAGTTAATAATGGCAGAGATGTTGAGTTTCTATACATCCCTAGGTACGATGAAATCTTTTGCCATGTATTCATTTACATGAATCATTGTTAAATAGTAAATAATTATAATATTAATATGTTTTAACCATTTTTAAATTTTATACAAATTCTTATAGTATAATATTCTTGGTGGTCCCAATTTGCATAAATACTTCATTAGCTTTTGTGATTATTACAAAAGAAAACACGCGTCCTGAGTTTTTCTCATGGTTTATCCGAAATGGAAAAGTCGCATCAATATTTACCGTATTGGCTGGTGCTGACATTGAAGCATTAGCAATACTTAGATCAAACCTTGCAGGATTTACATTTTTCCAAGCTCCTTTTTCAGAGGATGCTCTATCAAGTATATTTTGGGCTGCATGCTTGAATATCTTTACAGAAGATATACCTCAAGTGATCGTTCAGGTAAAGGCTAATTTGTATTTACATTTTTTTTTGGAACACACAAGTTCAACAATCAAAACTCTTAATAATTTTACACTCTTAACAATTTTAGATCTTATACCAAGGAAACACTGTAATTTATGACATCATTCCACTGCTTACCCTTGTCTCATCCTGCCTCAATTTGACGGTTAATTTGATTGGAAGATTATATCAAGCCACGAATAGAATCCGACAAAAGAAAGAAAGTCAGCGTTATCCTAAAGCCGATGATCATGAGCCGCGATATGATTTTGGAAATAACCAGCCATATAATATGTCAACTCCAATGGTTTCTCATGATGAATTACCTCATAAAGTTGAAATTAAAGACGACAGGCTTTCTGGACTTTCTGTTGATGATAGCAAGAGATTGGCGAAAAGTAATTCAACGAGTAGCTTTCATGAAATGATTAATCATTGAATATTATTAAGATTTAGTAACTTTTTTTTGTTTAATGAACTTTTTTATGCTTTTGTTTATCATATATATAATGTTAATTATAGAATAAAAAACATTTCTATTGTTCTTTCAATTTTGTAATTCAATTTTGGAATTTAGAATTATTTTTTTAGAGTTCTTATTTTTTTATGGTTTGTACCATATTCATTTATTATAAATTTTGATTTATAATCACTGTCGTCAATATAATATCAAACATAATAACTATGGGTGCTTTTTTTTAATTGCAATAAAGTTTTCACATATAAACAAATTTAAAGCACAAGCTTTGATGTTTATCGTTTATATTTGGGCTGGAGCGGAGGGGAGTGGAGTGTAAGGCCTATATATAGTCTACTAATTTCACGCAATGTCCGGATCCCGCCCCTGTAAATGAGATTGATTTGAACAATCATACCTCCTGTAAAAATTTAATTCATCAGAAATTAAAAATCATTAAAATATAATAAATAAAACAGACGACTGACAATTGACAATAATAACAAAAGTAACTAATAATTTATTGTATAGATGCAAAACATAAAGAATTTATATGCCTGAACAAAAGGCCGCAAGAAATGGTGCTAGAAGAAAAAGGTCGGCCGGAACAGTTAACGTTAAGTTATCGAAATAACGAATCAATAAAAAGGCAAGCATCAAAATAATGAAAAAAAAATACAAATCGTGACGAACATAATATTTATTTACATTTGGCAGAATCTTAAATTATAAAAATATATAGTTAGCTAACTTTTTTTTTTTTTAGAAAATCAAAAATATCCTGCCATTACCACTTGCATGCCAGCTTTCTAATTATGATCAAAGTCTTTTAAAGAAATTTCGCAATGCTGTTTCTGTACTTAAATTCAATTTCTGCCCAATTATAAGAGATTTTTTCTACATCTGTATTTGGACAAATTACGAATTGGTAAATAACTGTGTACATGTGGTTTGAGGTGATTACAGATTATAATACGTAGCAGTTCTTTTAGCTGAGTTTTCAAAATTGGCCTGGTAAATGGTGCAATGGGAACAACTGTCGATATTATATATAAATTTGGAAGAAAACGCCAACTACATCATCTACATTAATGCTGTTCAGAATAGATAATTATATCAGGTCCAACACTAAACACGTTAAATAGTTCAAGTATGCATGCAAGGTTTAACATTGTCACGAACCGTATTTGACATTTACAATAAGGAATTTTCTATAGGTTTACATTTGTAGCTGTATCAAGGTCCGTGCTCTTTCCAGTCTTCTTTTCAATAGTACTTATTGTAATAGATTACAAACTTGAGGGAAGTACATGATTATAACAAAGATTAGCGAAGAGCAGAGATTACTCTCTTTATAAATTATTAAATTGGAGTTATGTCTTCTCACATTAATATAAACTTATAAAATATACTATTTAAAAAAAATTAATATATATATATATATTCTAATATCCAATAATAGTACTACTGTGAAAATTTTATTTTGAAATTTAAGCACCTAACAAGAAAGGCTCCAGTCCTATGAAATGTTGCCGTTTTATTACTAGTTAATACTTCGATTCTTATAGCAAACGTTCTGTAAGACATTACAAAGGTCAAAATCTAAAATCCTACTAACTATCAATATAGTATCAAATAGGATGATATAATATAAATTAAAAACTGATTAACAAGTTAGGGTTGTTTAAAAAAATTTAGCACATATCGGCCAATATCAACCTAGATATAATTTTATACTGGTTATTATAGTTTGTATGCTATCAGTAAGCTGATAATATAATTAGCCTATTGATTAACCAGTCAAATTTGATTTTGCTCAATTTGAGGAACATGTCGACTTGGAGATATTGCCATCGCCTTGTTGGAAATCAAGATATAGTAGTAATGATACCTTCATCTTCGAAATCGTATGTTAATCTTGGTGGTTCAATTTCACAAACAAGTTGACGGTTTCTTCTCTAATTTTACAAGAGATCCATCAGTATATACTTCGAATGTTTTGTATCTTGTGATCTTGCTTACTATCTTTTCTAATTTTTCGATTGCTTTTTCATCTTTTATACATTGGTGAATAAGGTCTTTATTTATAGAGCTTACTTTGACTATTGTTGCTTGTTTTTCTCTTGTTTCATATTCTTCTAGTACTTGTGTACTGCTTCTGCCTGTTATGTTTTCTAGAGTACTGTTGTTTGGAAGACTGTTTGTTTGTTGAACTTGTCTTTTTCATAATACTTTTGTTTAGTGTTCTTTTAATTCTTCTGAAACATTTTTTTATGTGATATACTTTGTTTTCTGTTCTCTTGTTGCTAATTTTATATTCTTTGCATTGTTTTATTATTGTTTCTTTTGTATTCTTTATATCCTGTCTGTATCAAGATTCTATTTTGAATACATTGCTTTCATCTTTATGAACTATTCTTTCTATCTTTACTTTCTTGTATTCTTTTTTAAATATAATTCATTTTTGCCATTTTCTATTATTGCTTATCTTTTTAAATTTTGCTTATAGAAAGTTATAGTTTTTAGACTTCTTTTAAATTCTGTCTTGACTTCTCTGCTTTTTTATTCATTAGCACTAACTTTTCTATTTTTTAAAACTATTTTGTCTTTTTTTCTTTTAGGCTATAGTTTTTGGGCTTTTTAATTTAATTTTATATTAATAATATGTTATTTTTACTATCTAAAAGCTGGTCTAATATATAAATGTTTATTTACTTTTTTTGCCCAAAGCTTGGTTTGTATTTCTTTTAAATAAGTTTATTATTTCTGTATCTTTATTAGTAAGCTTCAAATTTTCTTTTAGCTTTACTAATCTGATATTGATTTTGGAGGTTTTTTTTAACTATTTTGTAATTTAGATTGTTTTAATATTAATTTGTTTTAGCTTTTTAGCTTTTTATACTAAGGTTCAATATATATTTGTTATTTTTAAAATTTAGTTAAATTTGCTTTAATCTTATTTATATTGTATTGTTTATTTTTTTATTTAATTTTGCTACTAGTTTTATAATATAATATAGTATACTAACTAGTCTTGCTAAAAAATCTTTATACCAACTATATTTTGGTATATTATAGTTGTATTTAGTATTATATAGATTGTATAGATTAGTATAAATATTAAACTTTGTAGTTTGTTATATATTTTTTTAAATAAAATATATTGTTATACTTTATATTTTATTTTTGAAATTAGCACTTTGTTATTGATATCAGTCATATGATATATTATGTCTAAATTTTTTTTTTTGATATTAAAGTAACCTCTTGGCTGTCTCCTATTATTTAGTTATTAGTTAACTTTACTATATGCTAAGCTCCTACTGGGGGCCCATACAGTATACATATTTGAAGAGTATATACTAACCTTACATACAACTTTTGATTATCTATTTAAATAGTCTGCTTATTATTAAGTTCTATTCTAAATATCATATCTATAATCTAACTAGAGAGTTATCTATTTAAACTCTCTGCATTTATGAGATTAATTTTTATAATCGAGCAAGAATCTAGTTTGGACCTCTTATTTTTAAACACCCAGCTTAAGGTTTTAAAGCAGGCTTCAACCATTTTAGAAAGCTCTTTATTCTCAAGATAAACTTTCTAGAGCTTTTTATACTTACAATCTGGCTAATCTAGACTTCAGTAACTTACACCAAGTCTAAGGACAAGTACTTGTGAATTAAAGCTGCTACTATTACCTACTTCTGCTCTTGTAAAGTTTACTCAAATCCTAGTACTCTCTTTCAAATCAATCTAATATCTTCCACTTTCAGTACCACTCTAGTTAATCTTCTCAAACTATCAATTCAGATAGCCTGAAAGGAATACCAGTCCTTAGGTATCTGTTTGCAAATTTTTTTTCTCTGATTAATACTCTAGTGGCTAGTTAATAAGATAATCTTGCTGAATACTTAGTCTTTATTCAGTTGTATTACTTCAGATATATTCTATTCTAGTAGTAGTATCGAAAATTTGTACTACTTCTCTACTTGAAACTTGTCAAATAGATATCTGTCTCTCTGATTCCTTAGTTTTACACAGACTTTCGTATAATTTATATATTGCATGAATTGATAATCCTTCTAGAAATCTGATACGATTTTGATTACAGATCCTAAATCTAATTGATTAATAAGAGATAGTAACCATTCTACAACAAAATATTTGAATTTCATCAACAATAAGATTCAAACTCTAGATATACTGCTTGGAGGTGTGACAACTTCACTACTTTACTAAGTCACTATATTTTTGTTATATCTAAATTTTTTTATATATAAAATTATAAAAAAAATATATAAAATTATATATAAACTTTAAAACTTGATGGTTTATTCTTTTACATATTAACTTTAAATTAAATGTTACAAATAAATATATCAAGAAAAGAAAAATAAAATGCTTTTGAAATTAAATTAAAATTTTGCAATTTTTGTATAATTTAAAAATATAACTTAGCCAAAAGAAAAAATTTAACAGTTTTAAAGCAATAATTATATGTAAAATTATATTTTGAATAACTCCAATTAGGAAGTCAAAAAAGGTTATCTTATGGTGCTCCAAGTCACTTCACATCAAATGCACCAAATTTGAGTCTATATAAATGCTTTTTAGCCAATCAGAATGCATTATATACTAATTCTGATTGGATAAAAAAAAA